AAAAACATTGAACGTGAAAGTTTGGTTGACACAAAGAAAGTCCTACTACCTCCACTTCACATAAAACTGGGCTTGATGAAACAGTTTATAAAGGCCTTAAACAAAGATGGTGACTCTTGAAAGTATGAAACTCTTTCCTCCCTTCCCATGGATGTTGGTTCCTGGCATTTGAATTTTGGATTGTAGTTGACTTACCAACGGTATGATCCTCATCCTACTCCCCATGGATGTTGTTCCCAGCAGTTGAGTTTTGGATGCAGTTGACTTGCCATGTATGGTCTGTCATGCCCTAGCCACTCTACACTTTGGAGTACATCCACATTCCAATTATAAGGGAAAATAAAATTATTATATGTTGTCCAACCTGTGTTCTCTGCCAGTGGGATGTGCTCCTCACAATTTTCTGCCGAGGTCTGCCACACTTTTTCTAAGTCTTGGCAAAGAGTATACCTGGTACAGAAATGGTGCGGTCTCACACGTATGATCCTCTTATTAGAGGATTCCTTTATTAGGGTGTTCTTTGGATGCTTCTACTGTCTCCCTCACACCAGTTCCTCCACTTATTCAATGTGGGATTCTAGCTACATATGTGAGGGAAAGTAAGGTATCTTGTCGGCGCTTCTATTGGTGGAAGTATGTCGCTTGATAATTTGTATGTAAAAATTAGTTAAACCAGGCGAATCCAGGAATGAGTGAGAATGAAAGGCTAGTGCCATCTGAAAAAAAGTTTTGCGAATAGAGGGCAGCTATGAACGAGAATAGATATATATATATTAATGGAAGTAAGTACCTGTCGGAAATGCAATTTCATTATAGGAAAATCATATCTTTCAGGTTTTAACTATTTGATTTTTTAGTAATTTTAGGTCATGCAGTACTGAATTTCTCTCAAAGAGGATTTCAGGCTGTAAAGTCAGTTTTAGTACATTAGTTTATGTTTTCTTTTAATCTTACGATATGGATATGTCTGTGGTTTGTTAAACAAGATGTTTAAAAGCTACTTTTTAAGGTTTATCTTAGTTTTATTGTAAATTCAATTAAATTTATTAATTGTTTTTCAAAACTATATTTATCAATGTTTTTTTCAGTTTGTTTTTTATCCTTAAGTAGAAACTGAATTGGATATGTGGTTGCTCTTCATGTTTATGCTTATTTGAATTTTTCAAACATATACACTAGATGGCAGCAGTTACGTGAGCAAACAGGCTTCTATATACTTAACTCTCATCAGCACCTTTTTGAAAAGTTACATTATGGAACACTTGGGGTCCATCCAGACCCCAACACAAAATTACCATAAAAGTAAGCTCTGGATTGAAATTCCAAAAACCAATTGCATTACAACTTAGGGTTAGCATGTAATGTGAACATCCTAAAAATATGTGTATTCTAGAGGAAATATGTTGGTAAGTCTAGAAATTACATTGTTCCCAATATGCAAATAAGTAGTACTAAACCATTCCTTATAAAAACAGTGTATCAGAAAAGTGCCAAAGTTTTATTATACTCCTATATTCAAGTCATTATCCACCAATATATGATGAGATTACCACAATACTACAAAATTCAACTCAAAGAAAACTGAAAGACCGACCTGATCCCAACACAAATGTATCCTTATAGTAGGCTGTGGATTGAAAACCCAATAAGCAGGTTATTTACAACAATTACTAAACAAGGTTTCTAGAAAATAGGACATTATAAGCAGTCATCACATAGAACATTTGTTGAGGAATGAGATGCTCATACATGCTTACCACAATGATATTATAAACAAAACAGACAAGATAATACTGTAGTACTTTGATGGATTACCCAATATAACAACGTATATAGTGAAGTAAATGTTTAGAAATTTATTTCATATACTATAAGGTGAACTGCATGTATGTAGATGGTCAATGATAGTGTGGGGTCCACGTGGACCCCAGATAAATAAAACTACATACTCTGTCTACATGTTTCAAAAATAAAAGTTTCATATTGATCCAGGGTTTCTGCTTAACAACTACTTGAATGGATATAAATTTGTAATTATTATGTAAAAAAAGATATACAAGCAAGAAAGTCATTGGGGTCCATGTGGACCACAGGTGTGCTGATGAGGGTTAATTGATTAGCATTAATGTGAGTGAAATATTATTTTTACACTTGCTATCTTATGCTTGTATAATTTTACGTGTTTTACAAACATTTTAGTGATGTCACAAAGTCCATTTTACTTGGTGATTCATGAATGCTAGTAGTGTTTTAACACACCTTTCATTCTTCTTCATGTTACTCTGCTGAAAACGATAAATAATATTTGTAACAATCAATTAAGATATCTTCTAAGGCAGTAGGAGAAATTTTGAGGATCTTTTTTTTAAATATTGTGAAACTGAGATATATTTTGTTGATTTATTTATCCTATACAAATTATTAACCATTGTTCTTTACAAACAGTTGACATGTATATATTGTTGCGTCAGCGAGTCACATGACCACGTGACGCAACGTTTCTAGAATTATCATGTACTTTGG